ATGTTAGCTGACCCGAAATGACCCGACCCGAAAGTGACCTGACCTAGACCCGACCCGAATGACCCATTTGTTAGGTCTAATCCTATGAGGTCACACACAAGGGTTATAGATTGAACAAAGTATGAAGCTCATTAATGGGCCTCATGAGGTAATGAGAAGCCACATAAGTAGTAAGACTAGAGTAGTTTGGATTGGGTTACGGGTTTAGGCTTCACATGGACTCTAATTATATATGTGATATATAAATAGAGGCCTTACCTAGGTTATGGATACAAGTCACAACTAACCTAAGAAGTAGATTGTGAAGCAAGCAACCAACTCCCAACCCCTCTCTATCTCACACGCCTCTCCCCTCTTCCCTGTCCGTACAGTACGGATGCCGGCGCAAGGTGGTTTCTCGGTGGTGGTGGTGGTTTGTGGTTTGTTCGTTCCTCTCCACTCCGTAGAAGGTTGATTGAAGGGTTCAATCACAACTAATTAACATTAATGGAGGTTCAATCCTTGTCTATGGACCAAGTAAAGGAATCACGTTTGGGGTTCTTATTCTCCTAATTGTCTGTGGTCGTCCAATTCACTCGTGGAAATCACGCATCAAAGGTATGAATTATGTGATTCTTTATGTGTTATGCTTGTAGATCCTGTTTAGGTGCTTGTTTTGCGTAAAAATACCCAAGGCCACGTGGCCCAATAAGATGGTAAGACGTATCACCTTAAGAGAGGTTCATAAGAACCAATCCTCTGCCGACATGTGGCACACCTAATCATTGGGAAAAAGACGGCCTTCCTGGCCCAATTCCCGAGAAAGCCCACCATTCCTAGGTTTCCGTAACCTAGGATGGCGGCACGCATCCCGAGACCCAATAAATAGGGAGATGTTCCCACATTCATTCACAAACAAAGCGATTATTAATTGCAGATATTTCTCATCACCGAGAAAACACCTGATCTCGGAATCCGAGAAGATATTTTACTTTCCGCACTTTTTACAGACTCTATACATGTTCTAACTTGATCGTCGGAGGTGGAACTCCACCCAACCGGAGTCTCCGTTGTTTTGCTGGACAGGCGCCCGGAATCCAGTCTTGGAATTGTAACTCTCCCGAAGGACACAGAAAACCCAGAAACAGTGCTTATGAATATGATTCATGCAATTCCACTTATAGTACCTAAAACCCTACATCCCAGCCCTCATAGTAGTAATATCAACAGCAGGTAAACTACTAGTAGTAGAGCCAAGCAAGTTCTGATAAAAACCAAGAATTCAGCTTTTACCAGATCATGCTCCTTAAGCAACACATCATCATCAGTATATATAGAATCAATTCTATTCCTATTCTGTCTTTGCTTTAGAACAAAAAAGAAGTAGTGAGAGTTAGAATCACTAACTTAATCCAATCAACTCTTGACTTCTGTTTCAAAATACTCTCATGAGTATCCATCCAATACTTCATCTTCTCTATCTGCAGCTTCTTGATTCTAAAGAGAACTATTAGTGTAATCATCAGCAAGTTTAGCCTGAGTTTCATGCAAAGAGAGTCTAGCAGCTTCCAGCCTATCAGTTATATTAGCAAAATGCTTAGTATTAAGACTTTTAAGACCAGTCTTGACATACTTCATCTTTTTCATACCAGTAGCATAGAGTTACCAGAAACAGGAATAATGTCCCAATGAGTGCAAACAGTATCTTGGAACTCATCATGAGAAGCTAAGCAATTAAGAAAACGAAAGGGTATACCCTTCTCAGGAGCAAATGAGCAATATCCACAAGGACAGGACAATGATCAAAAAGAGAAGGAGGAAGATACAGAGCCTCAGTTTAACCATAAGCCAGTAGCCAAGCCTCATTAATCAGCCCTCTATTTATTCTGGTAGCAATTCTATCCATAACATGACCTTTATTATTCTAAGAATAAAAAGAACCTTTACTCTTGATTTCAACAATCTCTAAGTCATTGTAAAATCTTGAAAATCTCTAACCTCATAACCGGATTCCCATTAAATATGTCTTGAGCATATAAAACAGAATTAAAGTCACCAATACAAAGCCATGGAAGCTGAATGTTGCGTAAAGCCTTTATACCAGTCCACATAGACAATCTATGTTGAATTGAATGAAGGCCATAAACAAAAGTATAAGCAATCTGATGTTGCAAGTCTTTAGTAGTGATGATAGCATGAATGAATTGTTTAGTAACAATAATGACCTCAAAAGAAATAGCATCAAGTTTCCACCCTACAAATTCTACTCTTAAGAGAGAAAGAGTAATTACAAACCCAATCCCAAGCTCTACCAAATTTCTTTTGGACAGAATCTTGAGTATGCACCTTAACCTTGGTTTTAAGGATAGCTAAAACATCAACTGATTGATCTCTAAGTAACTCTTTTACATCAGTTACTTTATTAGGGTCATTGAGACCCCTAATGTTCCAAGATGTAATAATCATGGAACCAGAGGGGGAATTAGCTTCACCCCCGATAGGAATAGCAGCCACCTCATCAGCCATTAGAGCATTGTAAGCATTCACCCTAGTAACTACCTGCTGAGTCTGTCTAGTGTTCTGAGTTTTAGTCTAGATTCTTCCCAACCATTCTCCAGCCATCATCAGAGTTCACATTACTATGATCTGGGGCAGGAGTAGAGATAGGTGGATCAGCAGGTCTAACAACCTCTTGAGGAACAGTAGGCTAGGTCCGGTTTGGGCTTGGTTTAGTGATTTGGCCATAACTTCTTCGTTATAAGTCGTATTTGGGCTTATAATATATCATTGGAAAGCTCTTTTCAAGCCCCATCCAACTAAACAATAACTGGACCGAGATTATGGACAAAAATAATCTGATTTGGACGTTTTTATGATTTGACACGAAATAAATGATTGCAAGGAACACGAAATGAATGATTTTGGGTTTAAAGACACGAAATAAATGATTTTAGATTAAAACATGGAAATTTTGAATTTTAACACCACAAAAAAACGAAAAAATAGTTTTTAACACTATAAAAAAACTTTTATTTTAACACCACAAATTTTTTTTAAAATTGATTTTACCACCACTTAACGGTTGCCGTCCAAAAATCCGTTAAGTGGGGTCCATTGTGCCACGTGTCATCATATTATTAGTTTAGAAAAAAAAGAAAAATTAAAAAAAAAAAAAAAACAAAACCCTAAACTAACCCAGCTAACCCCATCCCACCGCTGGCACGGCGGCGCCGGCCGTTACCCTACCCAAACACTCCAATTCCTAGCCCCAGCCGCCGCAAATCCCATCCCCTCCCTTTCCCCCTCCCCAAAACCGACAAAACCTCCCAACGGCCGCTTAAAATGGGCGGCCGTTTTTCAAACAACCCAAAATCGACCACCATTAACGGCCACTAAAGGTCGAAAACGACCAATTTTGGGCCTAAGTGGCTGATCTCGACCATAAACTAGTCGTTTCGACCCTTAGAACCCAGTTTTGGTTGGCGGTTTTGGGTGGTTCGAAAACGACCACCCATTTTTGGTGGCCGTTGGGGTTAGGTTGCCGGTTTTAGTGAGGGGGAAAGGGAGGGGAAGGAGATTCCGGTGGTTGTGGCTGGGAACAGGGGTGTTTGGGAGGGGCCATGGCCAGAGGGGCCATGGCCAGAGCCGCCCAGCCGGCGATGGGGATGGGGTGGCTAGGTTAGTTTAGGGTTTTTGTTTTTTTTTTCTTTTTTAATTTTTTTAATTTTTTCTTCCAATAATATGCTGACACGTGAGCATTGTGGACCCTACTAACGGATCATCCATGAACAAGTTAGTGGTGGTAAAAGCCATTTTTTTAGAAATTTTGTGGTGTTAAAATAAAAGTTTTTTTTTTTTTTTGTAGTTTTAAAATCCATTTTTTAGACTTTTTGTGGTGTTAAAAATTCAATATTTTCTTAAAACATTTTAAGAAATGTTATAAATAGTTAAGGCTAAAGGGAAATTCACGAGAATCTTTAACTCTTCACCTAACTCGATAATCAAAGACGTGAAAGGTACTCGTCACTGGGTTTGGTTTTTGGGGAGACACAATCAGGTGTCTACAATTTCCTATTCCTATCTCTTTTAACTCACCTCTGATCTCATGAATAAATTATCAATGTTTCAATATGGAATAAAATTGTATCATTAAAGTTTTATACTTCCGGGGTTGTATATCTCATATCGCCTAATCTGATCATGATCATAAATGTCTCAACTCAGCTTCATTCATTTCCACTAGCTCCCAAAAAGGATAAAAATAATATATATATATATATATATATATATATATATATATATATATATATATATATATATATATATATATATATATCAAAAGCTTGAAATCATTAGCACTCTTTACACTATTTTAAAATCTTCTTTTTAGACAATGATACAATTATTTCACTAGTTCCCAGAAGAGAAAAAATATAAGTTAAATGCTTGAAATCTTTTATACACTTTACTTTAAAATTTCCTTTTTAGACAGCGATTCAACTATTTCACTGATTATCTTAGCAGTAATTATATATTTTATTTTCAAACAAATGTACAACTACTTTAGTGGTTTCTGAAAGAGAAATAATCTAAAGCTTGAATATTTGGTACTCTCAACACCGCTTTAGAATCTCAATTTTCAGACAGCGGTGCAACTATTTCACTGGTTCACGGAAGAGGGAAAAAATCAAAAGCATAAAATAGTTGGTTCTCTTACTAATTAATACTACTATCTAATGTTCAGACAACAGTAATTCATTTCAGTGGTCTACAAAAGAGACACAATCAAAAGGTTGAACTCTTCTGAACTCTTAACACCATTTTAAAATCTCACTTTTAGACAGCGATATAGCTATTTCACAAGTTCTCAAAAGGCAAAAGTAATAAAAAAAGACATCAAAAGCTTGAAATCTTTTTAACTCCTCTCTTATATCACTATTTTAGAATCTTTAGTACAACTCTAAAATCTTTAAGTTAGTGTTACCTACTTACTATGAGTAGGTGATCTTCAAACTCAAAACCTTAATCAACAAGAACACAAGAAATCCTTGTCGGCGCGTGGGAGAAAAAAAACTGCAATAAGAGAGAGAAAATTATAAATACACACTTGAAATTTTTAAGACAGAGAAGTTAATTCAATTTCTGTGTTTTCGAAGGGCCTTCTTTGCAAATATTCTCGCAATTTCGCAAACCCTAATTTTTTCTCTCTCTCTCCTCGACGGCCTCCTTCGGCCCCTTTTCTCTCTCTCCAAAAAAAAAAAAATCCCCAAATTCACAAAAACCCCTTTCTTCAATTGCTTAGGTGAATCTTCATCAATCAAAGATTAAGGTTTGTAAATTAATTTCATTTTGATGTACTTTTTCTTGTAAAGTTTTGATTTTTATTTATTACTCCGTATTTTTAATTGGGAGATAAAAAAAATCAGAAAGATCCGTTTTTGATTCTGTTTTATGCTTTTTTTAATTTAATTCTGCATCTCGGTATTATTAAATTTAGGGTTTATGGTGAGATCTGGTGTAAAGTTCTTATCTTTTGTATGAATTTTTTAGGGTTAAGGGTTTTCATGAAATCCCATCCAATTTCAAATCCAAAACCCTAATTTTTTTTTTCAGACCCTTAAAGTTGGAATCTTGTTCGAAGGGATTGAAGAATTTAGGGTTTTTGAGAGGTGTCAAAAGTTTTTAGGGGTTTTGGAAAAATTAAGGAAGCAAACCGTACATGTATGGCGTCGGAGACTTTAGGAGCTGATGAGCTTCCTAGGGAAAGACATCGTTGGAGTGAGAATTATAAGGTTTATGCTCGAAAGTATAAAAATAACATCAAGAAAAACAATGATGTTGTCAAAAATCTTGATGATTCCACCACCACAACTTCTGCCGCTGCTGCCCCTGTCGAAAGCCGTGAAAATGAGAACACCGTCACTGCCACCAACAACATCGATAACGAGGCGGTGAATGATAATAACGTCGAAAATGATCGTGTTGACCACGGTAATGGTAATGGTGTTGCGGCTATTAACAACAGTAGCTGCAGCAACAGCAGTCAGAATGTAGACAACAATGGTAAGGAGGATGATAATGAGAAGAATGGTGAGGATGGTCAGGAAAACGTGTCCTTGCCGCCTGAATTGCCGGCTGAGGGAGCAAATTCCTCGCAACCCCAGCAGAATTCACCGCGGTTGGGGACTTTGTCGGGGGATTCATCGAGTCTTAATCGAGATGAGGCAGCACCTGTTCCAAATGGGCATGATGGAAATTTGGAAAATGGGGTGGTGCTAAGACCGTTGGTTACTCAAGTAGATGATAGGTTGAGTATTAGTGTTTCGGCTGCTAGGTCGAAAGAGGAGGTTAAAGGTTTGAAAAGGAAGTTGGTGGATGAGCTTGATCAAGTTAGGAAAATGGCGAAGAAACTTGAGGACAAGGAGAATCAGCTTAGTACGTATTCGAGTATGGGTGTTGAAACAACACCTCCTGTTGTTGGGCGCTTGCATTTTCCGGTTAATGGTGGAGTTGAAAAGGGGGTGGGTGGTAGTATAAGAATGCATTCAGAAGCGGGTTCTGCTGGTTATCGTGATTCGAGGTCATTCAGGCAACTGTCAGTTTCTGTGATGGATAACAATAACCATGGAGTTGGAGGTGAGATTGTTGAGAAAGAAAAGAGGACTCCCAAGGCGAATCAATACTATCGAAATTCAGAGTTCCTTCTGGGTAAAGATAGGCTCCCACCTGCTGAGAGTAATCGGAAGTCAAAATCAAGTGGTGGTAAGAAGCATGGGGGAGGAGAAATGGATTTTGCTTACAGAATTGATAAGAAAATTTTTAGCAAATGTAGCAGCTTGCTGCAGAAGATAATGAACCACAAGCATGGGTGGGTGTTTAATCAACCTGTGGATGTGAAGAGGCTTGGTCTCCGTGATTATTTCGATATTATAAAGCATCCAATGGATTTGGGTACAGTGAAGGGTAGGTTGACCAAGAATTGGTACAAAACTCCGAGGGAGTTTGCCGAGGATGTAAGACTTACTTTTCATAATGCTCTAACCTATAATCCTCCTGGCCAGGATGTTCATATCATGGCTAGAGAGTTGCTAAATGTTTTTGAAGATAAGTGGCCTGCTATTGAGAGTGAATATGATCGTAAGTTAAGGTATGAAATGATTCGTGATTTGCCAACCCCGACATCAAGGAAGACATATGCTCCTGCTCATGTTTCAGTGCCTATGTCCTTCGCTCCACCTCCGCTTCTTCACCCCCCTCCAACCATTCAAGAGATAAGAAATTTGGAGAGGTCGCAATCTATGCCTGTTAGACCGGAATCTAGGCCAAGGCCTGCATATTCGGCAGGAAGGAAGCCCGCTCCAAAGAAGCCTAAAGCCAAGGATCCCCACAAAAGGGACATGACCTTTGAGGAAAAGCAAAAGCTTAGCACTCATCTTCAGAGCTTGCCTTCAGAGAAGCTTGATGCTATAGTGCAGATCATTAAGAAGAGGAATTCAGCTCTATCACAACATGATGATGAGATTGAAGTGGATATTGACAGTGTTGATGCGGAGACACTTTGGGAGCTGGATAGATTTGTGACTAATTACAAGAAGAGCCTAAGCAAGCATAAGAGGAGAGCTGAACTTGCTCAGGCTAGAGCAGCAGCAGCGCAGGCTGTTCAAGAAACGGTGAGTTTTTCTATCCTCTGCCAGCAGTCTTAGATCGATAATTATAATGTGGATCTTTGTATGCTAAATGAATTGTATGTTCGCTTGTTGCAGATTCAAGTTCCTGCAACTGTTGAAGTGCCTGGAGAAACCACAGCAGGTAACTAGCTAAAAGATTTGGATCAGTATGTTTCACTAATTTGATTATTATTTTTCCTTATGAGTAATTGGTTTAAATGAATGTCTCCTAGATAAAGGAAATGTTGCCGCTTCTCCTCCTGCTCAGCAAGAGAGGCGCAGTGATAATGAAAGTGGTTCAAGTAGCTCAAGCAGTTCTAGTAGTGATTCGGGATCTTCAAGTGGTAAACTTCTAGTGCCAAATACCCTCCTTTCTTCAGGAAAAAGAAAAAAAAAACATTCAATCTTACCCTGATTATTTTCTTGCAGATTCAGATAGCGATAGCTCTTCTGGCTCTGATTCAGATGGAGGCCATTAACATAGGATCTAATGTTTTTTAAGGTGGGTAGCAACTACTCTTGTAATTTCCTCTTCCTATCTTTATACAATTCAAGTTTTTAGCATTTGAGAAGCTAATTTTGGTTTGCTAGCTTGTACTCTGTAGATTTTACTTGCTTATTATGGTAGTTTGATAACCTACATGCCAAATATGTTTTAGACCTACCCCAAGTAGAATCCTACTGGCCTCGCCATTCTTGTATAGGGAATGATTTGTAGGGGCTCACCCTACTTTGCATTCATCTTTTTACTGACACAATTACCTTTGGTGTCTCTGTTGTAACTTATATCTTTTGTATAACCTATGTTTTAACATCTGGCATAAATCCGCGTGATTAAGATGTGCCCCTGGCACAAAGTTCAATCTGGACCCTGTTTATATGAAAGCATGCCTTGGGCTAGCTCAAGGCACCGAGTTAATTGGAGATGATTTTCTGTAAGGTGCCTTGAGGCAATTCAGCCTAAGTGGTTATCTTTGGAGTATCTGTTAATTAATGTTTTTCCATAATAGTGAAAAACCACGAATCCTTTTTACTTGATATGATATTGTAATGCGTAATATGGTGCCTCTATTTGAAAGTTTAGTGAACTTTATTAGCTTATATTGTACTCCATGCTATTATTTGAACCTTTGTAATAACAAAAAAGTGTCACTCTGCTTTCACTTTTGCTTAGTTACAGGGACCTCAATCATTTCTGTATTTTCTTATGCTTTTGTTAGCACTGCATGCGCATTCGATTTCTTAAATTAAACCCTACTGGATAGACTGATGTCAGTCTTCGAACTGTTGTCCGTATGTAGTTTTGACTTTTTTGACATCTTGAGAGACGAAGTAAAAACATGACGCATGTAGAATCATGTTGGCATCATGTTAAGGTGCTTGGCTCCACCTTTTGAATTTCTGAGCGTCATTTTATCTGTTTTGCTGTGGTGTTTACCTTTGTGGAAGGGGAGAGTAGTTCATGGCAATCATCTGAGATTTATATTCTTAAAGGAATACTTCCTGTATAGGTGTTGGTTTATTATCTAGTGAAAAGTCATCTAGCATATTTCGCTTAGTTTTTTATTTAATTATTATTAACTGTGATGCAGCTCGTATGTGATTCTTATATGGACTTTTTTTTTGTTACCTGACAGTGTTAGGTAGTTAGATGCAAATGGTGCATGCTGCAGTTGATGGATTGCCGAATTGCCTTTGCATTATGAAGCCTTCCTTTTGAAGTTGCTGCCCATCCTGGGGGATTTCAGCTCGCCCTTTTTATATAGAACTTTTTTTTTATTTGGTGGCTCTATAATACCTGTATCATAATCTATACATTGGCAGTTTCAAGATGCTGGTGTAGCAATTGTATATTTTTCCCTAGATTTTGCTACTCACATTTCTGCCTAAGTATGTGATAGGCAAGCATATGACTATACTTGATTGTCACTGGCGTACATATAGGGTGGTCAGTTAAGGATTCGCTGTAGGCGTGTAGGTGGTTAGGCTTGGAGTTGAATTTCTATCTTTGAATTAGCTTTAGCTGTTGTACAGTTTAATTTTGTTGTATGAGGATAGATGGAATTCTTTCAGTGCCTAGATTGTTCGTCAGTTATGCTCATTTTCAGTTTAAATCCATCCATCATGTTTAGCCAAATTAGGGGTGTTATCTGTGGCCATCCATTCGCCTTTACAATTCGTGAAGGAGTGGAACTCTTTCCGTTTTGGGTTTGTGGAAATAATTGAAGCAAATTTCATTTGGTTTGTGGCCTCCTGTTCCTTCTGGACTCACTGTTAAACTGTTTGGTAGTTGATATAAAAATTTCTCCCATACAAATTACAAAGTACCGATTATCTTCATTCTGTTTTAATCACAATTCTGGAAATTACTAGTCTTACCCATACTTATTATGTTTTTTATAATTTACTAATATAATTGAGAAAAAACAGGTCAAGTGGAATTTTGTTGAATTCAACTGATATAAAATATGCATTGGTACGCATGAAAGATTTTCACAGGTCTAGAAATAGAGTTTGTTGATCAAAATGATTTTGTTAGAAGGCTGTTTTACAACTGTTAAAAGTAAAAATTATTGTAACAATTGAGAGTTGAACTAAACCCAACAAATGGTAAGGTTCACGATTCTTTATTGATATTTGAATCCAGCCGAAACAAAAAACGGCAGAGCATTTGGGAGATTTTCAAATAGTGCCACTCAATACAACATGGCAGCGAGCAAAATTATATGGTTTACAGAGCCGGAACCAACTAAAAATCTTTAATGGTTCAATTCCTAAAACAAGGACTTATATTCACCTCTACACAAAAGAGGGATGTTCTCGCAACTCTCATTCTTTGTTGGCAAATTCAATTCCCTTGTCGATGGATGATTTAAGTTCAGCCTTGAGGTTTTCTAGACCTTCTTGCTCATACTCGGATAGAGTGCCCAATCCATATATTTCTTCCACTCCATTCTTCCCTAATCTTACCTGCAAGTAGAGAAAAAGCACACAGCAATGTCAGAAAAAATTATATATAAACATAAACATAACCTATATCTATGTATATCACAAAAGAAAAGCCAACATAATGTTAGCTGAATCTCTTAAACTACCCACTAGAATGATGTATCGGCACTTCATGATTCCGTGTATTCTTCAACCAAAATTAACTAACAAAAGAGTTACATGTACTCAACATCATAACACCTCTCACAATGATGCACCTTTACCACCCCACTAGAAAAATTTTAGACTGATCAAAAACAAGGGGGAATGCTAATCATTCACAGGACGACGACTTTGAAGGAATCATCCAGTCACAAGACTCACAACAGCACCAAAATAACCACAGCAGAGACGTGAAGAATACAGGATCGTCTAATCACCGAAAAAATGCAACCACACACTAACCACTTTTGAGCCTTAAACTTAACATCTGTAATTGACTGGAAAAAATAGTGTGAGAATAGCTTGCAATGGCATTTTCTTGTTCCCATTTACAAAAAAAAAAAAAAAAAAAAAAAAAAAAAAACATATCTTATTATAAACAAAACAAACACGTTCCAAATGTTTCAGCTACTTTGTCAAGTGTACAGTAACAGAACACTGTCCAATCCCTACATGGCAAAGGTTTCTAAATTTTTACCAGTAACTAGTCTACATATTAATATTCACCAATGACAATCAGCAGCCATTTAATCACTTAAACATACATAATATGTATCACACAAGAATTTTATTTGCCAATTTCATCAGCCGAAGCCAAGGGTTTCCTAAAAACTTAGGACTATGCAGAAGAATACTTCAATTACAGAGACGATAGGTAAACAGCTAGGTATATCTTGCTCATTACAACGGTCAGTAAATTCTAAAATAGAAATAAAGGGATTTGAGTAGTTTAGTGGAACCTAATAGAGGGTGAAGTCTTATCTACCACTAGAATCTACAAGTAGATTCGTTGAGTGACCAGACCAGTAACAAGAAAGAGCAAAGACAGCTACGGAAAATTACAAGTACTCAAAGAGGGAAAAGGGATTTGCAGCTACGACTGCTGGATACTCAAACAGTAACATTTAATACCTTAGAAGCAAAGAAGGGCAAATCAGTGACAGTTGATGCCACGTAAGAACACTCCACAACATCTGGCACACCATTAAGTCCCTTCAAGCAGGCATCGGCAAATATGGCTCCAGCATAACTACAGAGGATAAGGATATAAGCCAGGAGCATCAGCAATCATAAAGACGAAACCAACAGTTGACATGTTAAATTTGAGAAAAGAAGAATATTAAATCAGAATGAGAAATCAGAATTATTATTAACAAAACGGTCACATATTAGCCTCCAAGTATTCTGTGTATCTAATATGAAGGGTCAGAAATGTTCTGCGACTTCTGCCCGACCTCAACTGATTTCACATGAAATCATACTCGTGTCAAGTATGTGGCTATAGTTGCCGTAGCTTTCACTCCATTTGTAATAAAAAAAAGGATAACTAGATTTGAAATTGATATTTCAAGTAAAACCTATCTCTAGAATGAAAACAAGCGATATATTGTTCCTAAATCCTCAGTAATCAAGCATAAGAAGTTTCTCAGAAAATCAGACTTACGCCATAGACAATGTTGCTGAACCCTTTCCAGCCTTTGCAAGAACCACCTCTGTTCCTCCATCTTGTGTTCTCTTTGTAAGATACTCAATGTCAGCGTTGGAAAGATTGGCTTGTGGGTGAGCCTAACAGGGCAACAAGTAAACTTAGATCCAATGAAGTTTTGAGACATATAATAAATGAGCCAATGCCCCCATAAACAACATTGTTAAAAGGGTGAGGGAAGGCAGAAAGGATGAATGCAGTCCATGTACATACTTGAGAAAACAATGGAAGAATGGTTATGCCAGCATGACCTCCAACAACAGGCACATTGACCGCTGCAAGTAAGCAAACAAATATAAATTCACAAAATCATACCACTTAAACAAAAGACCACTTGACAAATAATCAATATATATTGCCAACTACCCCTACATGGACATGAAACAATTGAAAAGGTCAGCATAACATGTTACAATGTACATCAGCAGACATGGACCCTCAAACAATGTTACAATGTGGCTTTAATGGTATACCTTCAACTGGAAGGCCAGCCTTTGTAGCATAGAAAGTCTTAGCCCTAACGACATCAAGGGTTGTCACACCAAACAACCTTTTGGGGTCATAAGTTCCAGCTTTCTTGAAAACCTCAGATGCAATAGGCACTGTTGAGTTCACGGGATTGCTAATCATGTTGACAAGCGCCTAATCCACAGCCAGTCACCAGAAAGATCACCAAGTAAGATATAGGATGCATAAATTGTTCAGCAGATTACAGAATCAACTAAACATGAAAAGAAAAAAAATGAAAAGCAAGTTTGAACTCACATTAGGACAATACTGGGCAACAGATTTGCAGAGGTTTTTCACGATACCGGCATTGATGTTAAAGAGGTCATCGCGAGTCATACCAGGCTTCCTAGGCACACCGGCGGGAATTATAACAACGTCTGATCCTTCAAGTGCCTTGCCCAATTCTTTGTCCTCTGCATAACCAAAAACCTGTGCAAAATATAAATCAGATCTACAAATTAAATTTCTATTACCCATCCTACACTGCAAAACCATCAATTAGGAGCAAATACGGTATCAACAGATAATATCTAAAGCTATCATGTCAAACCTATCTATCACATTACATTCTGCCGCATCATTGAGGTGAGAAGCTTTAGCAAAGATTCAAGCTACTCAAAGTATCATTCTTTCCATGTAATAGCAATAAAAATTATCATTCTTTCCATGTAATAGCAAATTTTTCAATAAAACAATTCATGCACACATTGTACTGATATTAATTGTACCCAAAGATATTACACAATCTCACCACCTAGCTACCAGAATCAAATCTGACTACAACCAAAATTTTTTTTTATAAAAACACCAAAATCCCTATTCATCCAAAATTGAACCAAAAATAAAAGAACTGGGTTTTAACAAAACCCCAATTTTCGAAACAACAACCAATAAAAATGCCATAAATTAGCATAATGCAATAAAAATATAACACTAACAATCCAAACAATAGCAATTAAGTAACTAAACAAAAACCCTAGAAATGAATCACATAAATCCAGAAAATTTTTTTTAACAAAAAATCTAGACATATAACATTGACCCATAATATAATATCCCATAAAATTCGCATAATGCAATAAAACACAACACTAAAAAAACTCCATAATTATCAAGCAAATAAGTAATTAAACCAAAACCCTAGAAATAATCACATAAACCCAGAAAAAAAAAATCAAAAACCCTGAAAACGTATCAATCTACAATCAAAAACAATAAATCAGCAAAATGATACAAAAAAGAAAAAACACAACCCACAATCCAAAATGAAAAAATGACGGAGAAAGAGAGGTAAACCTGAGCACGGGTATTGATATGGCTGACATCGGCGGCAACACCAGGAGTACCGGCGAGATCGTAAAGAGAAAGGGTGGAAACAAGAGGGTTGAGCTTCATAAGCATGGAGAGAGACTGGCCGATACCACCGGCGGCGCCGAGGATGGTGACCTTGCGCTCGGGACTAGCGGCGGACGCATAATTGCGGGTGTAGTTGGATTTGCGAGCAGCTGATTGGACGGATCTCAGGATTTGGGACCTCATTGTTGCAGGTTAAAATGGAGGAGAGAGAAAATGGAAGAAATGAAAGAGTCGGAAATGAAACGGGGGTATTTGGGAGATGGAGCAGGCGAGAGGAATGTGGGGTTATTTATGTTGATATTTGTCACTCACTCACTCTTGCTAGATGTAGATGTAGATTGCATCAAAATAAAAGATTTTTTTAATGCTTTTTTACTATATTATTATTAAATTGGCTTTTTATTTGGAAATAAAAAATCACTTAAGAAATTATTCCGAGCATTTTTGAAAAGCGCTTATTTGACCTAAAAAGTGTTTTTAAATACACAATGTTTGTGCAGGGTGTTTGGTTAAGAGCTTTTAGAAGCAAAAAGTGTTGTTTGAACATATCTAAAAGCTTGGAGTGTTTGGTAAAGAGTTGTTTGAGAGAGCTTTTTGGCTCTATATAGCCTTTTTT